TCCAGGGTGAGACTGCCAGCTTCTGGGCCCCCGATTACTCCACCGGCAGCTGGAAGCTCACCAAGGAGGTCGTCCACGTCCTCGTCAAGGTTGAGACACACAACCACCCCACCGCCATTTCACCTTTCCCTGGTGCCGCCACTGGTGCTGGAGGTGAGATTCGTGATGAAGGTGCCGTCGGCAGAGGCTCTGCTCCCAAGGCCGGTCTCTGTGGTTTCTGGGTCTCTGACCTGTTGATCCCGGACGAGAAGGCCCCTTGGGAGGTTGATCTGGGTAAGCCCGCTCATTTCGCTAGCAGTCTCGATATCATGCTCGAGGCCCCTATCGGTAGCGCTCGCTTCAACAACGAGTTCGGAAGACCTTGCCTTCTCGGCTGCTTCCGCACTCTCCTGACCAACGTCGGCAAGGAGGAGTCCCCAGAGTGGCGCGGATACCACAAGCCTATCATGATTGCTGGTGGTGTTGGAACAGTCCGTCCTCAACACGCCCTCAAGGAGCTCGGTGACGTCCACGACGGTGCCCATGCCATCGTTCTCGGCGGTCCTGCTATGCTCATCGGTCTCGGTGGAGGAGCTGCCTCCTCCAACGACTCCAGCGAGGCCACTGCCGAGCTCGACTTCGCCAGTGTCCAGCGCGGCAACCCTGAGATGGAGCGCCGCGCCCAAATGGTCATCGACACCTGCGCCGCTCTCGGCGACCAGAACCCCATTGCCATGATCCACGATGTCGGTGCTGGTGGTCTGTCCAACGCTCTCCCCGAGCTCGTCAAGGATGCTGGCTTCGGCGGCAAGTTCGAGCTGCGTCAGGTTCACAGCGCGGACAGCAGCTTGAGCCCCTTGCAAATTTGGTGCAATGAGGCCCAGGAGCGTTACGTCCTGCTCGTCAATAAGGAGAATATTAACCGTTTTGTCAGCATCTGCCGTGAGTCCCTCTCTATCATGTCTGCACAGCTGTTGTATCATGCTAATCCGCACCCCAGGTCGTGAACGATGCCCCTTTTCCGACGTGGGAACCGTTGCCGCCCAGGACGCACAAGGCAACGCCAAGTTGACTCTCAGTGACCGCGACTCACCCGAGCAGCCGATGCCCATTGACCTGCCTTTCAACGCCCTCTTCCCTCCCGGCCGCCGTCTCGAGCGTGTCGTCGAGTCCCGCAGATTGGACCTCCCCGCATTCAACGCTGCTGAGGCCCTCGCTGCCGCCGGTGCCGCCGAGGCCACCAACACCGCCGGCCTCATCACCGCCGCCACTGAGCGCGTGTTCCGCATGCCCGCCGTCGGCTCCAAGTCATTCCTCATCACGATTGGTGACAGAACCGTCGGAGGTCTGTCCATCCGTGACCAGATGGTCGGTCCCTGGCAGACTCCCGTCGCCGACTGCGCCGTCACGGCAACCTCATTCAGTCTTGACTCTAAGACTCGCACTGGTGAAGTCATGGCCATGGGCGAAAAGCCCCAGTTGGCTCTCATCTCTCCCGCAGCGTCGGCTCGCATGGCCGTCGCCGAGAGTCTGCTCAACCTCGGCGCTGCTGACATCCTGGGCCGCCTCGACCGTGTGAAGCTGTCAGCCAACTGGATGGCCGCCGTCAACCACCCTGGCGAAGGTGCCGGTCTCTATGAGGCCGTCCAAGCCATTGGTATGGAGTTGTGCCCTCAGCTCAAGATCTCTATCCCCGTCGGCAAGGACTCTACCTCCATGAAAGCATCGTGGAAGGACCGCGAGTCTGGCGAGGCAAAGAGCGTCACAGCACCCATGTCCGTCATCATCACGGCCGTCACCGTCGTCGAGGACGTCCGCAACACATGGACCCCTCAGCTGCGCCGCGTCGAAGACGTCGGTGAGACGATTCTTATCTACGTCGACCTCGCCGAGGCCAAGAAGGCCATGGGCGGCTCCGCCCTGGCGCAATCATTGGGACAGATGGGCAACGAGGCACCGGACGTGCGCAACGTGGATCTCATTACGGACTACTTTGATGCTCTGCAGCAACTACACAAGAGCGGCGTCGTTCTCGCCTACCACGACGTCTCGGACGGCGGTCTCCTGACCACCGTCGCCGAGATGATGTTCGCCGGCCGTTGCGGCGCCGACCTCATGCTCGACGGCATCGCCAAGTCCGGCTCCCCCAACGACATTCTCGAGGCCCTCTTCCACGAGGAGCTCGGGGCCGTCTTCCAGGTCCGCAAGGAGGACGAGACCAACTTCAAGCGCTGCTTCGCCACTTGCGGTCCTCCTCCCGGCCTCGTCCGCACGTTCGGTGTCGTCCAGCCCAAGGGCAACCAGACCCTCAACATCCGCTACGGCGGCCACACCCCCATCGTCAGCCTTGACCGCGCCGAGATGCAACAGTGGTGGTCGAGGACGTCGTACGCCATGCAGAGGGAGAGAGACAACCCGGCGTGCGCAGATAGCGAGTACGCCATCGTCTCCGACTCGGCCGACCCCGGTCTGTCGTACAACCTTACCTTCTCTCCGTCAGAGAACATCATGCCCCTGACGGCCTCCCTCGGCAGCCTCCTCCGCAAGGCACCTCGCGTCGCCATCCTGCGTGAGGTCGGCGTCAACAGTCACAAGGAGATGGCCTTTGCCTTCAAGGCCGCCGGATTTGACCCCATCGATGTTCACATGTCCGACATCCTCGCAGGCCGCTCACTCGCCGACTTTGTCGGTGTTGCGGCCGGCGGTGGCTTCTCCTACGGCGACGTCTTTGGCGCCGGCGTTGGTTGGGCCCAGTCCATCCTCGAGCATAAGCATGCCCGCCAGGAGTTTGAAAACTTCTTCAAGAGACCCGACACCTTCGCCCTGGGCGTCTGCAACGGCTGCCAGATGATTACCCGTCTCAAGGAGTTGATCCCGGGCACCGAGAACTGGCCCACGTTCGTCGAGAACGCCAGCAGGCAGTTCGAGGCGCGCTTCGCCATGGTCAAGATTGACGAGTCCCGCGCCGCCACGCCCTCCGTCTTCCTCCACGGCATGGACGGCTCGTCCTTCCCCATCGCCGTCTCCCACGGCGAGGGTCGCGCCTCCTTCTCCAACCCCAACGCCCTCGAGGACCTGAGCGGCGAGGGCCTCGTGCCTCTCCGCTACGTCGACAACCGCCTCAAGGTCGCGGAGCCGGAAGCCTACCCGTACAACCCGAATGGCAGCCCTGGCGGCGTGGCTGGCGTCAGGAGCAGGGACGGCAGGGTCTTTGCCCTCATGCCCCATCCCGAGCGGACCATCATGGCGGACGTCGGCAGCTACGTCCCCACGGAGCAGGTCGAGGGTTGGGGAGAGTTCGGCCCGTGGGTCAGGATGTTCAAGAGCGCCAGACGCTGGGTGGGCTGATTTTTTCTGCTTCTTTTTTTTCCAAATACTTTGCATCAACCTTGTTCCCCTGTCTGCCTGCCTACCTTGACACCGGCTATTCTATGCCTATGAGCAGGGGGTTGGTTCAGAAGGGGAGAGGGTGTTTTCACGTTTCGGGTAACAACCAACAAGAATGGTAAAATGAGACAGAAAAGGACAGAGAGAAAAAAAAGGGAGGTGTGGTTTTAGCATTCGGGTACAGCAGCAGCAGCAGCAGCATCACTGACGGAGGAATGGGATATGAAAGCGGATTAGACAAAATCACACAAAAAAAAAAATCAAACCTTTTTTTGTTTTTCCACCAGGAGGGGCGGGTTGGCTTTTTCATTGGTACTAAAACAAAGACTACAAATATACACATACACAATGGCTTGGGATTGGGAGGGAAGGGAAGGGACGGAAAGGGTAGGGGGCAAAGGGGAAATGGAATAGTATCGAGGAAAGAAAGTGAGAGGGCAAGGGAAGATCGAGAAGTCCCGTCTATCCTGTCTATCCTGTCTATAGCTTTTTTTGGCTTTATCGACCATAACTTTCTTTCGAGTTTTCTTTCTTTCGTTAACTTTGGTGATTGATATGTGTACGCTCTGTTCATCTCGTTCCTCTTTCCTCCTTGACTGACGTGTGTATTCTACTCGTCTTAGCAGGAACAAGGCCACAAAACTGTCGGGTACTTGAACGAAAGGTAACGAAGGGGAGAGAGTGTGTGACAAACAGAGAAAAAGGCCCGAAGTTCCTTCCTGCTTGCCTTACCTGCTTCCGGCCTCAGCTATGCAGCAGGGCGAGGAGGGAAAACAGAAAGGGGCTTAGTAGCCAATCTCTTCCCTCAGGTCGATCTACAAATGAAACAGGATGGACATAGGTATCCTCGTCTTCTAGTTCTCTAGGCTTGCTCAAATGGAGGAAGATAGACATGTCTGGGGGAGACAGGCACATCATACAGAGTCCATCGAGGGGGTTGATGGACGTGTACGTTTGTCTCCGGGGCCTACGCCTATCCCTCTCAATGGCCAAATATACTGACTACATGCAAGCACAGTTGGAGCAATTAATAGTTGCCGGTACATACTTTCCAGATGAACGTCAAGATACGTGTAGGTGCGTCTATATACGTACTGACCACTCCATCGCCGTTTCTACTCACCCATGTCCCTTATCTCGCACTGGAGAACTGGAGAAAAAGGAAGTAAAGCGTGGCAGAGAGGGGAGGAGGAGGAGGAGGAGGAGCAGCAATGACGACACCAGAGGGACTTCGTGCAGCAGTGCAGATTGGTAGATGCAGCGAACATGCGGCCTCCTTCATCCTTCGTTCCATGACGCCTGCGCCGCAGACCCGGTGAAGGGGGGATGGAAAGGGAAAGGGAGATTACATTCGGGCCATCTGTATCGTCCTTGACCCTCATCCTCCTCCGCCTCCCCATCCCCTCCCTGTATCCGTATGTCGTTCCCGTATGTGGGCTGCTCCTTCTGCTGCGTTCGGCTAGGAGGGCCAAGTAACCTGCCAGCCTGCCTGCCGGAGAAGGAGGATAGTAAACAGAGACAGAGAGGGATGGGATTTGAGGAGGGAGGAGGAAAGGAAGGAAGGAAGGAAGGAGTGGTGCCTCAAAGATTTGCGTGGCACTTTCGCTCACCGTCCTGCATTCGGTGAGATTCATATGCCTCCCTCCTCGGGAATCTATCTCACGGAAAGGATTCCTTCGCGCCGTGGACAAGAAGACAGCAAACGACGCAGAGACCAGTCATCTCCCAATCGTTCCGTACCAGTCAGAAAGCGAGCAAAAATCCAATCAACTGTGCCTCTCAGTCGCTCCTCCACTGCCCAGCTTTACGTACGAGATTTGGAACGAATTCCTCCTCGCCTCGGTAACCTGTCCCGATCGAGCTTGCCACAAAGATTGTGCTCCGCGGCCCGGTCTCCTTCTTCCCCCTTTGGACGGGGCGCTGTCTCTCCAACATATGTCCTGGCATATACTAGGACATATGCCAGGTGCTTGTTCGAAATGGGCCATCCAGCGCCTTGGACGAAGGGCGTCCCAACTGTACGGATCGGGCCCACTGGACGAAAAAGATGTGCTCAGACACCGAGAGGCACGCGCCCGCATGCCACTGCGCTTTGCTCGACAGGCGATGCGGGATGCCATCTCCGCCAGCCGATGCCCACATCGCCCTTGCACTGTCTGTGTGAGTGAGTTCGTCCCTCGAGACAGAATTGCTGCAGTATAGGGAGTCGAGGGCACCCTCGAGGACTGCCTACTGCATGTACGCGTGCTGCACAGTTGCGGCGAGGTGCACACACACCATGGTTCCCTCTTTGGCAGCCACAGGCTAACAGCCCATCCATCTTGTACAAAGTGTACAAGGCCCCCGGGGCCAAGAAGCGCACACTGACATATCATTGGAAGGGGACAACTTCTGCAATGGTTGCGTTGACATCTTGAGAGGTTCCTGCCGCTTCCTTCCTTCCTTCCATTGAGCTAGTCCAATGCCGCAAAAGGAGAGGATAGGTGAACTTGGGACGCTCAGTAAGGTCCGCGTCGACAGGTCGGAAAGGCCATCCGCATGGCGGCTGTTGATCGCGATGCAAGGCAGACGCGGGCTTAACATTCGCCCGTCGGCTTCACGAAATTACCCTGTTGGCTGGGAAATTTCCAAAGAGGCGCGACAGGTGCATAAGGTTCATTTTGAGTTGGCCTTCACTCAACGGCCTGCCTAGGATGGTTGGGCTTGCGTGGCTCGTATTAACGCCGGTCTGTTGAGTTGACCGAGGAGGCCTAGCACTGGGGGAGTTGGTCCATCGCTCCCAGTCTGCCCGAGGCGAGAGTTCGTTCACAATCGAGACCGAAGGACCTAGGCAGTTCTGCTGTCCTGTTCCAAGATGCGTGACGTCCTCCCACCGAATGTCTCCCTTGCCTATGTCGCAGGACGTGACCATCATAGATGATAGACATGAAATGTCGGCTAGGCGGAGACTCCTCCAGGTTGACGGGGACTAGTGATATCGGAGCCGCAGCTGACTGGGCTCCGTCGTCCCGTAGGCATGGCGTCCACCACTCGGATGGTTCGATGGCCGACTGCCCCCCTTGAGAACCACAGATCATCCGCCAAGGGAAAGAAAGAGAAAGTTCGTGTTGGCAGGACCATCATTTCCCCTCTCCAGCGGTTGCCTCTCTTACATGTGGCGGGCCGTCGATGGATAGCATAGGAAAGATGGGCAGTTTGGGCCAGTCAAAGGGCTTCAAAGCAGCAAAATCTGAAGAGGCGGCTCCTCCATCGAAATGGCAAGGCAATATGTCCAGTGCCGATAGCCAATCTTGGCAATGGGCCAAAACTTTCTGGCCGTTCATCCCACGGCGCAACGGCACTGGGGTCCCCATCATCGGCCCCGCCTCAAATCCACCAACATCATCTGCATCAGAGAGACCAGGAAGCCCAGGGCCATCCCAGAGCGTGCTTGGGGAAGGAAGCTTTGGCCAGGCACCGTAATTTTCTTTCCTTCTTGATGCGCCGCAAACGGTTGGATGCAGCGTCGGGGTTCCCTTGGCCAGGCGCACAAATGCCAATAAGAACGACTGCCGTGGACAGGGCCCAGGTCCAGATTGCCATGGTGGTGCCATGTTGTAAGGACCCAAGTCCCGAAAGGTTAGACTGATGACCCCTGGCAAGCGTCGCCCGCAGTGCCGCAGCGAGTTAGCCTTACGGATGGACTATGCGACGATAACAAATTGGTAATAAGTAACAGACCAATACTTAGTTGCACAAGTACGTTTGTTCCAGAGGAGAAGCACGCGAGAGCGTGCATACTCTGAGTCTCTGGCTGTCGCTCATGCGGCGTAGACGGATCCATGGGACAGCCATCCCATCTCATCGCCGCGTGGGCGGCGCACGCCATACCATAATTGAGGATAGACGGCCCTCTGGCTGGGCGGCAGACCAGCAACAACGCTAGGAAAGTAGGCACGTAGGATGCTGTGATGGCGTCTCTGCAGCTGCTCGTAGTGCTCCTCGTGGCGAGCGATGCGCGAAGAAAGACTTGCCGGGTCCTTGGGTTTCAAACAACCTATATAAAGAGTCTATACATAAACTGATAATAACCCCCCCTAGTTGAGGTAAGAGTCCCGTATATAATAGTAGGTACTTAGATATTAGTAGATCCCGGCTAAATTTAACTAATCGGACTTCGTTTTTTTTTTTTTTAAGTACTCGGGCTAGAAATATTTTAGAAATAAATTATAGCTAATTAGGGTACTACTACTTAATTAATAAGAAATAATTCTAACTTATACTTTTTTTTTACTTTAGCTAAGTTACGTCCCTTTTTTTAAATTTCTACCCTTTATTATAACTTTTATTATAAATTTTTATTATAAAACTTATTATCGTATTTAAAATTTATTAATAATTAATTAGAAATATTTCTAAATTCATTTTATAATACTTTCTCGCTACTATAATAATAATAGCTTTAAGTCTTATATTAATAATAAGAGGGGCCGGCCTTAGAATCTCCTTACTTTCGAAATTAATAGCATAAGTTTTATCCCTATTATTATAATTAAATACGTAATTTATTTATTTATTTTTATAATAGTAAGGTTAAGTAATTTTATTACTAAGAGAACTTTATTACTATTATCTAGAAGTTAATAACCTTTATTTTAATAACTACTACTAATCGTTTCTTAGTACGCTTAAAAAATACTTTAAAAAGGGTTATTATATTAACTCCGCAATTTCTTATAAAGGATCCTTTTTAACCGCTATTAACCTCGAGGTTATTTATAAATTACTTCTTATTTTATATTAATATTTTTAGCCTTATTAATAATCTTTTATAAAATACTATACTAAAATAATATTATTTATAAAAGGCTAGGATATACCCCTAAATACCCCCTAAAAGCTTAAGGTTATTATAAGTAATAAGGCGTTATTTACTATCCCTCTTAAAGAGGACAGTACTATAAATAAAAATATTTCTAAAATATTTTTAGTTTATAAAATTAACTATTTTTAATAAAACGTCGCTCAAATAAAAATAAATATTAAGCTCGGCCCCGAGGAGAGCTATAAGGTTTATAAATCGTAAAATATTATTAGCTATAGTAAATATAACTTATTTTTTAATTAACGCTCTTCTTAACTAGATTTTATAACTTACCCTCTTCTTAACGAGTACGAGCTAATTTATTTAGTATTTTATAAGTACTATTACTCTAAGTTTATACTAAACGAGGATATTTTTAGTAAGTTATTTTATTAATACCTATATATCGTTATACTTAATATTAATTATTTTTAGAAATCTTTAAGACCCCTAAGTAAATAGGCTAAAATAATAAGGTAGTTAAGGGTAAGCCGGTCTAGCCTACCCTTATTAATAATTTTAATAATAATAAAACGGATTCCTAAATTAACCTCGCTACTTCTACCTAGATCTTTATTAAAAATATAAATAAATAAAAAGTATAATTAAAAGTTAAGAGATAATAGGGAATAATTAGTCTAGGGAAGTTTATAAGTAAAGAGTTTATTAAAATAGAAGTGTTTTGCTTACTTTTTTAAAATAATACTATATAAATTAAGAATGCCGTAGTATTATAAATAAATATTCATAGTAAATATATAAATAGAGGTTAAGGCTATAAATACTAAGTAGATAATATATTAATCGTAAAAATTTCCTAAAAATTTCCTAAAAATTTCCTAAAAATTTCCTAAAAATTTCTTAAAAATTTCTTAAAAATTTCTTAAAAATTTCTTAAAAATTTCTAAAAAATTTCTAAAAAATTTCTAAAAAATTTCTAAAAAATTTCCTAAATTTTTCCTTAATATGTCTTAAATACTTTTTAAATATTTCTATCTTTTTAATTTCTATAATATTTATAAATAAAAATTAATTAATAAATAATAAAATAATAAATTATTAACTTATCTTAATAAATTATAAGCTTATTATATAATTATATATTTAATATAATTTACTAGTTATTTATAATTATAATATTAATATTATATAATAATATATATTTTTATTATTATAATTAATAATATATATATATATATATATATAGTCTTATTATATTATTATTATTAATAATTAATTAATATTATAATTAATAATTATTTAGCTAGTTTTTCTTAATTTATATAAGCCTTAGTATTATAAATATTTATTAAGTAAATAAAGACTTTAAAACTATTTTTAAATAATAATACGTATATTACGAGCCTAAATCTTAATTTAATAGTTTATAATTTTAATAATATCCTTAACTATTTTAATAAGTTTATAATATAAAAAGAAATTAATATACCGGTATTATAAATTAATATACTAGCGTCGCTTTTATATTTTTATTACTATTTTATTTTTTAATTAGTTTAAAAAAATAGTACCTCTTTATAAAAATAATAAAAGTAACTATATTAATATAACTATTCTTATCATTCTCTTTAACTTAAGCTCTAGTTTAAAGTTTTAAAAATAAAAATATTATTATAATTTATATACTTATTTAGAACTATTATATTACTTATTTAAGATTTATAAATTTTAAATTAGTTAGTAATATAAGTAAGGCTTTTTTTTATTATATACTTAAAATATATAAAAAATAAATTATAATAATATCTACTTAACTACCTCTTTTAACGTAATTATAATAATTTATTATTATTATAAACTACTTTTTATTAGCTCTATCTTTTTAAATATTAAGCTATATTAGCTATTTATTTATATAATTTTTTATTATTCTCTCTTTATTAAGAACGCTAAATTAGCTCTTTATTTATTATTAAAATAAGCTTAATATCTAGCTTTAACTTAATTAACTTATTTTTTTTATAAACTTAGCTAATATTAACTTATTTTTATTTTCAAATAAATAGCTTTATTTTTTATTATTTATACTTTAGTTATTATAAATAGTACGGGCTTAACTAACTAATTAGCCTTTTTTAAATAAAGCTAACTATAATAAAATAAGCTATATTATATTTTTTAATTTATTATAAAAGGATATAATAATTTTAAAATTAAGGATTTAGTAATATAAATTTAAAAAAAACGTTTATTAAAAATATTATTAAGAATATACTTCTTACTTATTAAAAATAGCTGAATTTAGTATTTTAAAATATATTTTATAATAGTATAAGATACTTAGTTTAATTAAAATAATATAATTTAAATTATAAAATCCGAAGGGGTTTAAAAATAGCCTCTTATTAAATAGTATTATATTTTTTATAAATTAGCCTTATATCTTAATTAAAATAAAATATTTTAAAAAAAGTATTATTTAAAGTTTATTTAAGTATTTAAAGCGAGTACTTATATACTTTTAGCTTATAAATACCCCGTTTTTTATATAAGCTTAGTAAAAGCGTAGTTCCTAATTACTAATTATATTTTATATAACGTTAATAAGTTAATATAAATAACTAAAACTATTTAAAAAATAAACTTTAATATTATTATTATTTAACTTAGTATTAAAAATAATACGAGTACTAAAATCTTAGTATTTTTAAATAAAATAACGGGCTTATTATATTCTTAAAAATAAGTATATTATATAAAAGTACTAAAGGATTAAGTATTAATTATTAAACTTTTTATAAAACTTAGTTTAAGCTTTTTTAAAAATATACTTAGTCTTAGTAAAAATAATAAGCTTTTATATTATAAAGACCCTACGATATATATAAGAGGGGGGCTTATTAATAAGTATATTAATATAAGCTTTATTCTTATTATTTAGTATAGCTATTATTTATATTAATAACTAATATCCCTTATTATTAAACCTATTATTATTATTATTATAATTACGGTCCTTAACTTACTTTTATTTAGTTATAAATATAACGTTAAAGTTAATATAATAAATATAAAGTTATTATTAAAAATCTAGGAATTATTCGTTTAGTATAGCTTTTATTTATTTATTATAATTTATAATAATAATAATAGGGTAACGGACTAAGTATTAGTTTATAAATTAGTAAATACTTATTAAAAGAAATTAAAAACCCTTTAATCTCTTCTTATTAATAAGGCTAAATACGGTATTATAAATAGATTTAAAATAAGTTTACTTAGTAACTTAAAAAAGAGGGAGTTTAAAGTAATTAATATTATAAATATTATTAAAACTAATTACTTTAAGAAATCGCTTTTATATTTATAAATAATAAAAAAAGGTCTAAATAAAGCTAATAAAGTAATTTAGTTCGTTATTTACTTATTTTATTATATATAAAATATCTCGCTTATTAAATAGCTTAATAAATACTATAGTTAGTAAATATTTAATTAGTTTTTCTTAGTTTATATAAGCCTTAGTATTATAAATATCTTATTAAATAAATAAGAATTTTAAAAACTACTCTTAAATAATAGTATATATATTACGAGCCCGAATCTTAATTTATTAGCTTATAGTTTTAATAATATTCTTAACTATTTTAATAAGCTTATAATATAAAAAATATATAGAGGTTTTAAAACTAGGGCTATAATTATATTAATTATACTAGGGGTCTAAATAATAATATAATAGCTACTTATCCTCTTTTTAAGCCTCGGTAATAACTTATTATTTATAATTATATTTATAAAACTTATATTATTAAATATTAGCCCTTTATATAGGCCTAAGCTTACTAAAATAATTATATTAAAAAATATATTAAATAATTTAGCCTCGAGTTTTATACTTATTCCGCTTTATAATACTAAATTTATTAACTTTTATAAAATTATTAACTTAGTTAGAAAGGGTATTATAAATTTATTTTAAATTATTAAGAATTAATAAGTTTAGGATTTTAGTTATAAAAAGAGAAGAGGATCGGTTATTTAAAATATAATAAGAAATTATAATTTAAAAAAACGCTTTATTTTAAATAAAAAATAGCTATAAAAGTAAATAAGGTAATAAGTTAACTTAAGGACTTTATATTTATTATTATTAACGGATATATTTTTTATTATTAAAGTAGTATTGTTATTAATTATTAATTAGTTTT